TCTATGTGAGTATCGAGATAGGTCTAGCAATAATGGCCTTAAACTTGGATGCTTTGGCCTTTGTTTCATACTTGCATTTGTACAAACATTTCACCCGTTCATGATTGTATTGATTGCTTCTCAACTAATGCCTTTTGTTTAGAACCTTAGCCCTTTAATGTCTACTCTTTTGGCATATTTGTTACGGAGTACTTAACTAATCAAATAAGCTCATTATATACGATCCTATCATATATCTTCTACTTGTGGATTTATTAATTCATTGGGGGCAGTGAGAGTACAATAATGACTCCTCTGTGGTTTTCTCTATTTAAATGATAACCAACAGAAGAGTATGTATAAATATGGCATCGTCATAGTTAGTTACATTCAAATCCAACAACCTAGCTAACAGTCTAAGAAACATTCATTTGTATAACGTAACCTAGCTAGCAGCAGGCTGATCGCACAGAAGAAGCTCAGTTAGCTATTTAGTTAAGATATGGGTAATAGAGTTATGGCGTCATCCGGATTGCTTCTTTTGTTTGCGGCGGCCGCCATTGCTGCAGTAGTTAGGGCGCAGTACGGGCCCTCCCCTGACGACGACGTATTGCAGGCGCTGAAAAGTAGCCTGACCTTCAAGCCTAATTCGTCGCCCGATTTGTCCAACGCCTATCCGTGCAACTGGACATCTTTCGTGGAGTGCGAAGTAGTTGATGATCAGGGGCCTCCCCGGGTTACAGTTATCCGCTTTTATGATGTGGTCGCTAACGGGAGCCTGTCAGCCAATCTTGAAAACCTGACCAATACTTGGAAGAATTCGATTCGTCCTTCAATAACCTCATCGGGGTGATTCCCAACTTTGCTGACTCGGTTGGTTTTCTCTATTTAAATGATAACCAGTTCACTTCAATCTCGCAAAGTCTGTTCGACTACAAGCCCAACTTGACATCTGTTTACCTATCCAACAACGCTCACCTACCCATGTGGGAGATCCCTCGGAGTCTGAAGAACTCCTCAATCCTCGAGCAATTCTACGCCGCTGATTGCAGCCTTTTCGGAGAAATACCCGACTTATCCAACCTCCAATCTTTGCGGGAACTATATGTTTCTGATAATCAGCTTACCGGCGTTATCCCTCCATCCCTAGCAGGCTTGTCCTACCTTGAAACAGTGGATGTTTCCAACAATCAGCTTACTGACGTTATCCCTCAAACACTTGCACATTTGCGCAACCTTACAAAAATGCATCTTTCTAATAATAATCTTACTGGCGTTATCCCTCCATCCCTTGCAAGTTTGCCCAAACTTAGAAATTAGAATAGTGGATGTTTCTCATAATTAGCTTGCTGGCGAAATCCAGTGGCGGATGGTATGATGTTCAAGGGTATGCACTTGAACACCCAAAAAATTCAATTTTTTTTTTATCAAAACGACGTCGTTTTGAATCGTTTTAAAAAAAATGAAACGTCGTCGTTTTGATGGAGATTCAACAGTTCAAACCTGCGTATTCCAAAATAGGTCTTCCCCAAACTGAAATCTTCCGAATTTCTGCCCTTGCCCGCTCCTCAGTGAAATCCGAGCTCCAGATTCTCTCATTCTCTGCCGACCGCCGAGGCGGTGACCAGCAGACCAGATCGCCGAATTCGCCGCGATCCCAGTCATCCGACGACTCCACAAGCCCGACCAGCTAATAGTGATTGTCATAAAACATGTGTGATGAAATGTAGAAATCTTATGAATTCAAAGCAAAGTATTGCTACTTGTGTGAAGAAATCAACTGAAATTTTAGATTCTGAATATGCAATAAAAGTTAGAACATCACTTCAAGCTACTAAATTACTTCTGAGAGGTGGACATGCCTTTAGAGGACATAATGAGGGAGATGATTCATCTTACCAAGGCCATTTTCTTGAATATGTTAAAGAGTTGTGAGAGGCTAGTCATGTCACAGATTTTCGTGAAATCGTGGGATGACCTCCCCGGTGATTCAAAAAGACCTTGTTTTTGCTTGTTCATATTTAACTACTTCCAATATTGCTAGTGAAATTGGAAGTGATGTATTTGGTGTGTTAGTTGATGAGTCAGGTGATTGTTCGGGTAAAGAGCAAATGGCTCTTGTTGTGCATTATGTTGATAGTGTTGGTTGTGTTATCGAAAGATTTCTTGGAATTGCACATGTAAAAGAAACAAACGCTCCTTCCCTAAAAAAAGCCCTTTTAGACATATTGTCCCCTAATGGGTTGAGTTTATCCAAGATTCGAGGTCAAGGGTATGATGGAGCTAGTAATATGAGTGGACAGCTTAATGGCTTAAAAGCATTAATTCAAAAGGATAACCCCTTTGCTTTTATGTGCATTGTTTTGCTCATCAGCTCCAATTGGCTCTAGTTGCTAGTGTGAAGTGTCTCATTGATGTGAGTACTTTTTTAGGCCTAGTAAACAGTGTTGTGAATATAATTGGGTGTTCTAACAAAAGACAAGAGCTGCTCTGGGACAGACAACATGCTCATTTACGTGAGATAATTGAGTTGGGTTTGGTAGAAACTGGCACATGTTTGAATCAACAATCAGCTCTTGCAAGGGCGGGTGATACACGTTGGGGGTCACATTAAAGGACTTTTACTAGCTTGATGACATTGTTTGGTCCTGTGATTGGTGTCCTTGAAACAATGATTATGATGTTTCTTGTGATGTTCGTGGTCCAGCTAGGACTATGTTGGATGGCCTATTTTCTTTTGATTTTATTTTGATGCTATATTTGATGGTTGATGTGTTAAGGGTGACGAATGATTTGAATATGGCTTTGCAAAGACGTGATAAGGACCTCTTGAATGCATTGACTCTTGTGAAGATATGCAAAGCGAGACTCCAAAAGATGAGAGATGACGGATGGGAAGCTCTCTTGGGAAGAGTTGTTACGGGTTGTACAACTCATGATATTCATGTTCCTAATATGGATGGTCCTTATCACCTATAAAAAAGATCCCACCGTCAAACTTCTTTTGTTACAAATTTGCATCATTACAAGACCGATTGTCTTGTTAGCATTTTAGATTTGCAATTGAAGGAGCTTAATTGTAGATTTGATGTGGAAAATACTGAGTTGTTACATTGTGTTGCATGCTTAAGTTCTGCCTCTAACTTTGTGGATTTTGATGTGGAGAAGTTGTTGAGAATGACAACATTCTATCCAGACGATTTCAATGATGAGACTGAATCTTCTTTTTGCAATCAATTTGCTAACTACATTGTGGATATGCATTTGGATCCTCGTTTTCAGGATTAATAGGGCTTGCGGACCTTTCAAAGAAACTTGTAGCAACCAAAAAGCACAAGACTTATGGTGCCGTTTATAAGCTTGTGAAGTTTGCTTTGATCTTGTCGGTAGCAACTGCAAGTGTGGAACGTGTCTTTTCAGTAATGAAGCATGTCAAGAGTGAATTGAGGAACAAAATGGGGGACCAGTGGATAAATGACCGTCTCGTGACATTCATTGAGAGCAAGTGGCATTCATTAAAAGCAACGATTAAAAGCAAGTGGCATAAAGGGAAAAAGTAGTGGCGTGCAACAATCTCAATTAATATTGAGATCATAATCTCAAATTAAATCCCTAGAATTTCGCACATCACGTACCATTGACTCCATTTAAATAGGAGTGTCCAACTAATTGAGTAAATGTGTATTAATATTTTAGGATGAGCCAACAATTAAATAACCAAGGTGACGTGTACAACAACCAAAATATTAATGTGCATGCGTTACTATTCAAAGTGCAATATTTATCCCCTTTTTATTATTCCATTTTATTATTATCACATTAGTTAGGTCCAAATGTTATATATATAAATTTTATTATTTGTTTTATATGCACTTTAAAGTAGAGATTTGCACATTTGATAGTTTGTTTATTCGTTTCAAGAAATTAAATGGTACATATTTTTAATGTGCTCTATTAATAGTAATGAACACTTTGATGTATGTATTTTACTAAATTCGTGATGCACTTTTATGTTATGGTTGTTCACTTTTAACTTACATTATAAGTTATAGAAACAAAAATATTTTTTTTGTTCAACTACGAGTGTACTTTTATTTTAAGTGTAGAAATGCACATTTGGCTTATCGTAATGCACTCTCAAGAATTAATAATGCACACCCCATGAATAATTCGATAAAGTGCAATGTGTATGAGCGTAAGTGCATCAAAAATATTAACATGCACTTTTTAAAATTATATTACACTTTTCATCCCATTAACATGCACTTGTTATCTCATTAACTTACATTTTTATTGAAGTTGTAATTTCACAACTAAATAAGCTCATACATTTGTGTACATTTTTTCCATATGTACAAAATGCACAATTCGAAGGATCACACACCGAATGTGCAGTATTAATAGAATATCGGTGCACTATATTTACTAGTACATGCATCATTCTTTCACATGTGAAGAATGCACAATTCAAGGGATAAAAATGCACAAACATTGTTCAATACAACTTCTAGATATGTATCAACTAGTCATATTTTAGTCGATACACAATATCATAATGTGATCGGCACACGAGTCGCGGTTTTTCTTCTCCGTTTCGAGATTTGATCGGCACCCCCCTGCGCGTAAGAGAGAGCCTTTCCCTTTAGGAATCTTAACTCCTTAAAAGAGGCTTCCCTTTATAAGGGGGTGAAAATCCCTTGAGTTTTTCGGTGTGGGATAAAACACACTAGAAACTCACCATTTTCCCAGTTTTTCCATTTCAACGAGTGAACTTCGAGAATCAATTTCTCATTCACCCGTTATCCGTTTTGAGTGTACCACATATCGAATTGTAGCCCTTAACAAGGAAAATCCGAAACCACTTTGACCCGACCCAAATCGGAAGTGGACCCCACTCATATAATTTCCCCAAAATGACCATTTAATGCAATTTTTAACACATTTTTCCAACAGCTTATACACCAGAATTTGAGTAACATATGGCCTTTTATGCAATTAGACCTTCCAAAACAAAATGGTATGGTGAATCTGGTCGGAGGATGAAAGATGCAGGGTAACACTGATTTTGTTATCTATGTATTTAAATGATCGGTTGAAAGTTTTTTAGCTTTGTTATAGGTACGTATTTATCTATGTATGCCTGGACAAATGCGTGAAATTAGCTGATTCTTTGTTTGATTGTTTGTTATTTTATCAAATATTACCTCCGTCTCACTCAACTTTGTCAAGTTTACGTTGAGTGAGAAATTAGAAAAGGAAAAAATAGTGTCATTAAGGTTAATGCAGAGGAAAAAGAAAATGAATACAACTACAAATTCAATGCTTTAAAAGAAAGTTAGTAAAATATTTTATGACAAACAATAAGAGAAATTTTTTAAGTTTAATGGGACTGAGGGAGTAATATTTGGATGGCTGTGTAGGCCCAAGAGGCGACCTATCAAGCACCCTGGAGGTCTTGGTCCGCCGCCATATCAGTGGACCAAAAAGCAACTCGAAACCATTGATGCGACGTGCCAGAGGATTGCTGAGATTGGACTTGAACACTACAATACCAACAAAGCCCCCTATACTGGGGTTAATGGCTATTATATTAGGTAGATTCTATGGTACCCATAAGGTACCATATCTTTGTCCACATGAACCAACGAGAATGTAGCACTTGAATTACTTAAATCTAAATTAAAAATAATAAAGTAGTGTGGTCCAATCAAATGAATGGTAGGTACGGTACCTTATTTTTTAGAAGGGTACCGGAGTTGTCACCATTATATTATTCAAGAGGATAAGTGTTCAAGTTAATTTCTTTTGGAAGAGTGGTTAGCACTTAATTACTATTACAATTACTATCAAAATGAATGTGGAGTGAGTGATGAGAGTAGGGGCTGCTGTGTTTACCCAGGATGGTGCTACCTATGAGCTGGTGGAAACAAGGGATAGCACCTCATTCATCCAACGCATGACATCAATTGTTAAGGCTCATTCCAACTTTACTGCCAAGCCCGTCCACTCAAATGGACCCACAATGCTCTTCTTTACTGAACTCTCATCTCCAGTTTCATCCAAGAAACCTTTTGTAGCAACTAACACTACTGTTCACAGCTGCTGCTTGCTTGGCTGTGATGGTGAAGGTATGTATGGTGGCTATATCACCCAAATTCAATGTGTCCTCCTCCTCCTCCTCCTCCTCCTTCTTCTGTCCTTGGAGGTTGCAGAAATTAACCAACTAAATATGTCTTTCACTCATCCAAAAATCTACTCTCCAATCTCCATAATTTTATTTCCCTGTATCACTCATCTTAACCTTGTGAATCTCCTTCCCTTTCCCACACCTCTTCCACTTAATTTAAATTCTTTTAAAAAGTGGGTCAATCCCTTACTCTTTCAATAGAAGAGACGCTCTAGGGTTCTTACACTCCTTACACTTCTCCAGTTTTCCTTCCTTATACTTCCTCCGTTCTTAAATAAATACAACGGTCAACATTTCACACTTGGCGAGACACAACTTTGACCATTAATATAAATGATTTTGTATTAGTAAAAAAATTAAAAAAAAATAGATTATGAAAATTTACAATGAGACAAGTTTAATAATATTTTTTTCATAAAATAATATTATTATATTAATAAACTAAACGTAGTCAAAGTAGAACATATGAATAATGTAAAAGTCAAAGTGTTGCATTTATTTAAGAACGGAGGTAGTATATGATACAACAAACCTACTAGAACTCTACAAGTTTATAGTTACACATATGATTAGTTGATGTAGTTAGTAAATGTGTTGATAAGTTGAGTAACGAAAACAAATACTTCGTATAAAACTATATTAAAAACCATATTATTCATATGAGATATATGATCATTCATTTTATAGTTTGTAAGAGCGATCTTACCGTGTTCTGAAACTTGTATTCAAACCGTGTTTACAAAAATTTAAAGGATATGTGCGTATTACTCAGAAATTAAAAGTCATTGTGGAGTTGACTCCGAACAGGTGTAGTATTTGACCTGATCACATCTTGTTGCATGTTTTTCCGTCTCATGGCTTTTTATCTCGTTAGATATTTACGATTATTTTGAGTTCTAGATTAAAGTTCATTTTCAGTCTTGATTCACAATAATGTATGCATTAAAGAATAGGAAAAATTGACAAGAATAATCCCACATTTCACTGGTCTTCTCATAATAATCCCACCTTTAAATAATCCTAAAATAATCCCACCTTTACACCTCATCTTCTTTCATTGTACCCTGACCAAGTTTTTTACCTTTTTTAAAAATCTTATATAAATAATCTCACATTTATAAGGATATAATAAAAAAGTGAAAGGTGAGGTTATTTATATAATTTTCAAAGAAAGAGTAAAAAACATGGTCAGGGTCCAATGAAAGAAGATGAGGTGCAAATGTGAGATTATTTTGGGATTATTTAAAGGTGGGATTATTATGAGAAGACCAGTGAAATGTGAGATTATTCTTGTCAATTTTTCCTAAAGAATATGTACATATTAACTTGAAATTCATAAACGTTTCTGAGACTACTCTGAACTCGCGTAACATTTGATTTGATCATATTTTTCCTTATTTCATTCCATTTCAAGTGTTTTATTTCTCTGTAGAAAGATCTTAGTGATTTCTAAAGTTCATTTTTAGAAATCATCACAAAATTTTAGGGGATAGGTGTGTATTACTCAAAATTTAAAAATTATTATCCAGTTGACTCATGATAGGTGTAGTGTTTCACTTAAACCATAACTTTATGTATTTGTTTGTGTTTAAAATGATTCATATCTCGTTGGAAAGAGCTCATCGAGTTCAAAAACTCGATCTTAATCCGTTTTTTCAATATATACGGGATGAGTACCCTATGCACCCAAACCAAGCATTCCAGCCCAGCTGGTTGCAAGGTTACCATGCTTAGTGGGAGGTCTAAAGTTCGATTCCCGCAAGGCACATTAGGGTTTGAAACTCAATGGAGTGAGTTTCAGCCCTGATTACTCCAGGCTCCCCCCCCAGGCCCCCACCCCCAGACCCCCTGGAGTAAAAAAAACCTATGCACCCAATATCGAATTCAAGACTCTGTTTATGTTTAAAATGCTCTATTTACTCTGAAAATTGTATATTACAATAAAGAGGCTAAGTATTTGATTTGATAATATCTCGTGGTATGTTCTTCTGTTTCAAGTGTTTTATATCTCGTTGAAAAGAATGTTTTTAGTTCTAAAATTTGGAAAGAATGTTCTCCTCTCTTTGAAGGGTACTTCTCAGTTTGGTATACTCGTCACTCTACATCTGCTTATGTACTCTTCCTTGGCCGCAATCCTATCAGTTGGAGCTCAAAAAAACAGACCGCTGTTGCTCAATCATCTACTGAAGCCGAGTACCATGCTATAGCCTTTTCCACTGCTGAAGTTATGTGGTTTTGTTATCTTCTTCAAGAACTCCATATTTTCGTCCGCCATCCACCTACTATTTATTATGACTGTCTCAGTGCAACGTATGTCTGTCCTAATCCGGTTTTTCACTCCGCATGAAACACGTGGCTATTGACTTCCATTATGGCAGAGAACAATTGCTAATAAGCAACTTCGTGTAACACATGTTACGACACATGACCAACTTGCTGATTCGCTCACAAAGCCACTTGCTCGCCAGCCCTTCTTGTCTCATCGGTCCTCACAGCACAACGAGACTTTGATCATCAGCTTCCCGTCATCGTCGAAGGTGTCCACGGTCAACTTGTCGATCTCCGTCCGGATTTAGTTCGTCTCGGAGATCTGTGAGGTTCCCCTTATGTTGACAGCTCTGAATATTGGAGAATCTTGGGTCTTCTCTAATATTTAACTTAACATTTACTCGTCCTGATATTTCTTTTGCCGTGAATAAACTTTCACAATTTATGCATGCTCCTACAGATACTCACTGGAAGCAGTTAAGTGTGTACTTCGCTATCTTAAAGGTACCATGTTTCCAGGGCCGGTCATGTCCATTTATGGGCCTATGAGCGGAACATTATTTTGGGCTTATATCCAAAACAAGCCGTAAATCATATACTTATTTGAAATATGATTAATAATAAAAGTATCCAATGAAGTTCATAAAATAAAGGTGAGAATCATTTTATTGTTATTTAAGTTACATTTTTTGGAGGAGTGATCTTGTATCATCTTTTCCCATCTTTTTTTCCTTTTTTTTCTTTTTTTTTTAATATTTTTATCCTTATATATAAATATTACTTTTTCCTTTTTATTTTATCTTTTATATGTATATTCATCTCTTTTATATTATATTTTTTTATAATAGCTTATCTTTTTTATCTTTATTTTCTTTCTTTTCCTTTTGGTGATATCATGTATCGATTCATGTTAGCCGACCCCAATATCGTTTGGGACTAAGGCTTGGATGTTGTTGTTGTATTTGGGCAAAAGTAACAACACGAGTATCGAATAAAAAGAAAAAAACATTACCTAAAAGTGTTTCTCGTAGAACAATGTGAAGCAAATAATCAATAATCGCTTCATAGGAAATTAAACCTTCTATCTACTAATAAATATGATAAACAGTAAAATTCTTGCACATAACAACACTAAACTTTCTTTCAGTTTAACTGAAGGGATAGATGAAAAGAAATAATACTACATATCGAATTCATAAGTTGAGAATGATTTATTGACCACTAGTGAGAGTCTGAAGTTTGAAGTCTAGAAAGAATGAAGGTTTTCAAAGAGAAAACATGTTTGGTTGCCAAGAAGACTCGCGCAAGAAGACTCCCAATTTGACGTCCTCTAAAACTACTATTAGAAACTCAGATATAGTTTATTGAAATTTGGAAACAAAAAAATAATTAGGATGAGATTTGAGAGACACATGCTCTAAAATAATAATATAAATTTGTTGTATTATAATTAAAATGAATAAAAAGCCTTAAAGGCTAAAGAGATGTAGGGAATTTCCACCTTATTTCTTGGAAGTTGCCAAGAGGCATCTCACACCTTCTTGGAAGGAGCTCTCCAACAAATGAAAATGGGAAGAAGATATGGAGATAACTAGGAAGCTTGGATGCAACTTCCTCATGTCTCCAAACTAGCCTATAAATAGAGTGTTCTATTGTTGTTCACATCATCAGTTTAGAAACTCAGAAAAGTGTGTGAAGAGTGAAATACACTTAGTGTAGAAGTGTATTGGTGATGATCGGTTTTTTGTAATAGTTGAGTGTGAGAGTTTGCTCCTCCTATTGTAATTCTGTTCTTGATATTAAATAGAATAATTTTCCAATCCCAACAAGTGGTATCAGAGCGAGGTTGAGTTTCCCTACACTTTTTCTCATTTTTCAGAAAAATTTCGACAGGTTAGAAAATTGTGATTTTTGAAGTTGCTCGGAATCACGATCTGATCATACCGTTAGATTCATCTCGTCTAGAGGAGAAATCTGGTATTTTTGGGTAATTTTTTGGCCACCGAAAGAATCCGTACGCGCCGCCCAAACGCCGTCGGAAACTGCCCGCGTCATCACTGCGTCATCACGCAGTCCAAAGGAAGAAGACGAGACACGCCATCGCCACGTCAGGCCACGTCATCACCACGTCGTGCTGAGTCATCGTCCACGTCATCCACATAATTCGTCTCCGTTCCCACATCATCTGCCACGTCAGCGCCACATCATCGACGTGGTGAAGATGGGAAACACCAGTTTCTCAAAGATTGTTGGCATTGGTGATGTGCACATAACAACCAATGTCGGATGCGCACTTGTGTTGAAAGATGTTCCACACGTTCTGGATCTTAGATTGAATCTTATCTCCGGTACAGTTCTGGATTAGCAAGGATATCTTAATCGCTTCAAAGAAGGTACGTGGAAGCTATCTAAAGGTTCCTTGATTGTTGCAAGAGGCCATATTTGTGGTACTCTTTATAAAACCCATGCAAAGCTATGTCATCCAAGTCTAAATACTGTTGAAGAAGAGACATCACCAAACTTGTGGCACCGGAGGTTAGGCCACTTAAGTGTGAAGGGATTGACAACTCTTGCAAGGAAGGAAGCCATTTCCTTGGGCAGAGGTGTTGCCCTAGATCCATGCAAGCACTGTCTATTTGGGAAACAACACAGAGTTTCCTTCAGATCTACCAGGAAGAACCATTCACAGTTACTCAATCTTGTCCACTCAGATGTATGTGGACCCATTGAAGAGGAGTCACTTGGAGGAAGCAGATATTTCGTGACATTCATTGATGATGCATCACGAAAGGTATGGACTTACTGTCTAAAGAGTAAGGATCAAGTGTTTGATCGTTTCAAATCATTTCATGCCATGGTAGAAAGAGAAAAAGGGAAGAAGCTGAAGTGTCTACGTTCAGACAATGGAGGAAAGCACACTTCCAGGGAATTCTCTGCATATTGCGCTGCATATGGAATTAGACATGAGAAGACGGTTCCACGAACTCCACAACACAATGGTGTAACCGAAAGAATGAACAGAACCATTATGGAGAAAGTTCGTTGCATGTTGAGTATGGCTAAACTACCGAAGCCATTTTGGGGTGAAGCTGTGCTGACAGCTTGTTATCTTATAAACAAGTCACCTTCTGTTCCTTTAAACTTTGAAGTACCAGAGAAGAAATGGTCAGGAAGAGATGTTTCTTACTCTCACTTGAAAGTGTTCGGGTGCAAGGCATTTGCACATGTGTCCAAGGAGTTGAGACAGAAGCTTGATCTCAAATCAAACCCATGCATATTCATCGGCTATGGAGATGAAGAATTCGGATACCGGTTGTGGGATCCCGAATTGAAGAAAGTTGTACGAAGCAGAGATGTTGTATTTAATTAAAATGAGTTTCATGAGTGTGCCCCAATCATCAGCACACAACATACTCCAGAAGATGAAGTGCCTGTCATTCCTCTCAGCGACGAGGAGATGCATGATACTACTGAACAAGAGAGTGATGGTTCAGTTAGTGATGATGATACTCACAGTGATGATATTCTTCAGCAGGGGGAGCCTTCATCTGAAGACAAATCTGAAGATATTCATGTTCGACGTTCTATGCGAGGCATAATTCCACAGAGAAAGTATTCCACATCCGAATTGATACTTGTTGCCAACGAGGGGGAGCCAGCGAGCATCGCAGGAATGATAGAAACAAAGAAAAAGGTGGAGGGGGAGATTTGTAGGGAATTTCCACCTTCTTTCTTGGAAGTTGCCAAGAGGCATCTCACACCTTCTTGGAAGGAGCTCTCAAACAAATGAAAATGAGAAGAAGATATGGAGATAACTAGGAAGCTTGGATGCAACTTCCTCATGTCTCCAAACTAGCTTATAAATAGAGTGTTCTATTGTTATTCACATCATCAGTTTAGAAAGTGAGAAAAGTGTGTGAAGAGTGAAATACACTTAGTGTAGAAGTGTATTGGTGATGATTGATTTTTTGTAATAGTTGAATCTGAGAGTTTGCTCCTCCTATTGTAACACTGTTCTTGATATTGAATAGAAGAATTTTTCAATCCCAACAAGAGATATGCAGATCAAAAAGACGTGTGTTTTATTGATGCAACAATAATTGTATTGCTTTTTAAAACTAAAATAGATCCTACTTAAAATTAATGTATATATTCCTTTTAAAACTTGGCTCTATTTAAGACTTTTTATTTATGTTTTAAAATTTCAAATTGTTAACCAGTTCAGATTGCAACGACCTGGATCAACATGCCGCTTGTCATCGAAGGGGACTGTGCTACGGTCAAGATCAGTCTGTCCACACCGGGCAGAGATGCCTCTAGATTTAGGAACTTGTTACAGGAGGTGAAAGAGCTGAAATCCGTTTTCTCAAATGTGCGCTTCAACTTGTTTAAGAGGGAGGCTAATTAGGGTGCTAAATATGCAGCCCATAAATTAGCTCAATTAGCTAAGGAAACTGATGAGGTAGTGGTGCTCCCTGCATCTTTCTATTAAATATACTATGTTTTCCCGCAAAAAAAATTAAACATTAGACCTAATTAATTTAATTTCAAAATAGAAAAGAAGCCTACTCTTGACCTTGTGGCTTTCAAAATGGGCTCGCAAACTTGTCGATCATGACTTGAGGTTCTGATGAGGAAGATGCAGATCGCTAATTTCTATTACTACGTACGTCGGAGGCGGTGATTTAATTAGGAGAAAAGGCAAAAATGTAATGTGGAGTCCTTGTTAGAGATAAATAAGCTTATACTCCAATTTTCGAGTTTTTTCAATGTTTTAGTCTCATTTTGGATAATATTTCCTAATCAATCATTCAATCTCACGTACATTCTATTGCTTCACTGTTGTATAGATTATGAGGCCGTTTGGTAACAATGTTTCTCGGCTTATCAGGCTTATCAACCATATTTTTCATCAAACGCGTAATTTTTGCTTTCGCGCGCTGAACTGTGCAATAAGCAGAAAAAGTAAGGTTGAAGTTACTTTTCTGGCTGTATTGGCTGAAGTTAATGTAGACGACCATTTTAGCTATTCTTACATATAATTTTTTCTTTATTTTATTAATAAAATATATTTAAATTTTTTTTTTTCTTAAATCAGCAGAATCAGCCAATGCAGCCACTTCAGCCAGAACTTCATAAATTTCAGCAGAATCAACCAAAACAGCCGATTTTCGTGCTACCAAACGGGCTCTATATATTTCTTTCAATGCCCATCTCATCTTTAATTTGAATAAAATTGCTCTTCCTAATAATACAGCAATAATAATCTATCGCCAAATCACCCCAAATAAAAAAAAATCACCAAACACATAAAAACCCAAAAGAGACCTGAGAGTGACTAATCAAACCATGCAAACACATTAAACACAACATATCAAACGAAGAAAAAGTCAAAAACTACATGTAAAGTAGTATAATTAATGATTAATAATAATAAGATAATAAGATCGGTAATTATACGAACGATTGATTTTAAATATTTTTTATCAGAGAGACGTATGTTGTTCAAGGATATTAAGGTTGTGGGTTCTCTGTCTCTTTGCAGTCCCAGATTGATCATCACTGCTTCCTTTCTCAATCACCGCTCTTAAAGCTTCTTGAACGGAACTTAAAGAACAATGTAGCGGCAGCGGATCGCTGCCGCTGTCGTGATACTGGTCGTCTCCGGCGATGAATAGAACATTACGAACGCGGCCGCCAATGGTGGTGATTTCGGCTTTGAGAGTCCTTAGCCTTAGAGCTTTGAGGGTCTTGATAAGGTCCGACAATAGGTCGGGCCGGTCCTCGCAGCACAACGAGGCTCTGATCATCGGCTTCCCGTCGTCATCGTCGGAGGCGTCCACGGTCAGCTCGTCGATCTCCGTCGGGATTTGGTTCGTCTCGGAGATCAGTGAGGTTTGCCTCCTCAGTTCCTTCACGTGCTGGATCACCTCCGCAAGTAGTGATGCTTTATCCGTCTATAAAATATGATCAAATTAGTTACTCCATCATTTAAAACTTCAAGAAATAATTCACGAAAGCTAATGATTATACAGAAAATTGTTTTTTAATCGCAAACACTTAGAATTTCATGTTCTTAATGCATGACTTAGATCGTGATGCACGATTTGGATCGTAAATATAATTTAATTGGCTATTATTTTTTTTGGACAATCGAAATAGAATATGTTAGAAACATAAAACTTATCAAAGTGTAGCGATTATTAAAATAGAAATTGCCCTAAATATAATTGAAGCAAAAACGTTTTGAAATTTTAAAACAGGAATCCCATGATTTTATGCTCTAAATAGGAGTAATTTAATTTCTGCCAAGTTCAAATCATATTTAAATCTTGATAAAGCCAAATTTAACAGAAATTATTCTTATTTAGGGAATAAAAACGTAACAATCTTGTTTTGGAATTTCAAAATGTTTTTACTCATATGTAGGGAATTGAATTTTCCCTTATTAAAAATGAATAGAAGTATATATTCTTTACTCATTTTTTCAAACCAAATATGTCATACTTGACTGTATTGGTTAAGTGTGCTAACCTTTGATCGATTCATAATTAATTTGGAGTATATTTTAGCGAAAATCATAAATTCATACGGAGTACTACGTAGTATCATGAAAGTAACTTTAACAAAAATCATTAATTCTAATAAAAATAATTTTGTTATGGATTTAATATTATAAAAAAATTTATATAAAATTATATCATTGATCAAATTTAAATATAAATTATAACAAATATAGTAAAAATTAATTACATATAAAAATAACGGAATTGGGTTAATTTGATTTTAGGTTAAATATGATTTTACTATAGAAGTAAATTTATCACATTACCAGAATTAATCTACATCCTAATACAAATTTCCTCTGCTCACTTGAGATAACTTAAATGCATGAATTGTACCTTAATTATTAATATATTATTGGCTTTGGCACCTTAACCCTAAAGTAAACCAAATCAGTACCATAAATATATATAAATGTGTCAATTTGCAATAAGATTCAAATTGATTGCAAAAAAATCATATGTGGTGATCATAACTTTATGCGTAAAGTCCAATTTATGTTGCTTTTGTTCAATGTTCTAAAAGGCGCTAGGCGCTAGTCGAACGCTAACCCAGTGCCTAGTGCCTAGATGGCTAGGCAGACCCTAGCTAGGCGGGACTAATCGCAGACACACAAATTGTATTTTTTTTATTAATACTTTATGTAAATACGATAGGTTATATTGTGTTTCTGTGTATAAAAAAAACACACACACATTAACAACATGCTTGAATGATAAAATTGTCACATTTAACTCCATTATGTTAAAAATGTTAAATAATTATAAAATATAAGTATATATACAAACATATATAGTTTTTATCTTAAATTTACATGTACGTTTATTTCTTCATACCTGTGGTTAAAGTAAAAGCTAAGATACATATATCCCTTATAAAAAAATTAAAAAGAAATGTTCGCTTGAATCTAGAGGCCCTTGGAGGACAATTAGACGTTCTGGGCAGACAACTTAGTGCCTTACGCGTCTGATTAATTCACTTAGGCGCCAAACCAAGTAGTCTGGATGCCTAGACAAAAATCAAAACTCCCGATCATCACCTAGCGCCTAGGTGGGGACAAATCGGACGCCTAGAGCGATTTTCAAACAATGTTTTGGTCCATGTCATCACTATATGCTAGGTTGTGAGTATGTAATTTTGATCAGTAAATAAAGATTAAAAGCAATTCAATATGCACAAATACTTGTATTAATCTGCAAATTAGACTACGACGGTATGCTAAAACATGAAGCTAGCTTTTTGGCTCCACCACTCATGACACACCATGACCTCTCGATTAGACATCAAAGGGTTCTTAAAGTTAAAAGTTAAAACCATGCTCATGTACTTCGTTAACAAATTTCATCATATTTTTTATAAAGTGATACAAATTAACAAAGTTCAATTCGTTGAACGTGAACATATGTAATAGCTAGACATACACTTTGTATGACAACTTTGTGAGTGGTCACATTTGTATTTATATCTTTATCTTTATCTTAGTTGATGGAATATTAGGGTCCGGTCCAATATATCGGCCAGAATATCCCTGAAGCCCAGACGCAAGGGAAGGTCCAAGGAAAATCATCAGACCCGAACTGCAAGCTCCGTTCGGCACATCCCGAACGGGATGTAATTGATATTTGGGTAAATAGCTTATTTCGTGATTAGTGGCTTAGCTGGGTTTAATCCCGAACGAGAATTGCTCAAGTAACTGACTGCAGTTAATGCTGGATCATGGGGGCATCAAATGGCATGTGAGGCAACCAATCATATTAGAGCACCTCATACCCCAATCTAGTATAAATACCAGCACTTAATTCATTTGTAAGAGTGAACATTTATTTACTCTCTAGCTCTAATAGCATTCTAGCTCTTGTATTAGGTTTTGGGTTTGAACAGCCGTTCGACCATTTCTGTGTAATTGTTATTACTGCGTTAATACAAGCTGAGTTATTTGAGTAGTTGAATCAGATTTTATATTCTCTTTATACACTTTATTGTAGCAAATCAAATCCTAGATCCAAGGTGGGTGTTGGGCCTTCGGGTCATTCGGGACTTAAACATCAACATTAGTCATATACTATCCTCATCCATCGGTTCTTTAAAAGTTGCAATAATTTGATTTTCACATTTACCAACACACAACTTTGACTGTAATTATATTTCAATACGTATTAGTAAACATTGAAAAAGTTAATATTTTGAAAATTTACATTAATAGAAATTTAATAACATTATATATATAATAATTTGATTATATATATTCTTAAAAAATCGTAGTCAAAGTATACAGTATGTCGCTATTTCTTCTTTTATATATCTCTATTGCATTAGCAACTTTTCAATGTTGTTATTACATGTTTTTCCTTGGTCCTAGATTTTGTACTCTATTTAGACATCAACTTAGCAACTCCAATCCTATACTTTGATACTCGATTTTATGTAATGAATAATGTATATTATATTTGATTTCAGGTATGGCTATTCAATGGAATTTCTAGAATGGGTTTTAAATGTGCATATTTATTAAGTTTTATTGTTACGTTAATACTTATACTACGTATATGTTTTCAAGAGTTAATTAATTTTAGTATCATCAGTAAATCGGAAACTTGAAAATGTGACATAGGATCATAGGGAGTTCTAATTCGTACTATTAGTTCTAGGGATTATAAAAATATACTCCGCAAATAAATTGGAGTATTAAGTATCAGGATATTTGTTTATCAAAAACATGGACATAAATTGAAAAAATGATCAAGTCTCTTTTATTCTCAAAGTCGAGTTAGCCATAGGGATGGCAACGATGAATTCCTTGAGAATACTAACTTTAGTGGGAGTAGTAGTGGTTCAAACATTTGTGATGAACTTCAAGAAGGTACTGGAATGAATCCACTTATTATACTGCCCATTCCACCTAATTACTCACTTGAAGATCATAGTGAAAATCAAACGCCTCATAATAATGATGCAACAAGTCAGGAGGCGAATGAAACTCCAATCAATGTTGAACCAACTCCGCCGGTTACTAATGAAATTCCAGAAAATCAGCAACCCTTAAGGAGATCTCAAAGGGTCAGACGCCCCACAAATTTTGACGAATATTTGATATAATTGAATGAAGAAGCTGACTTTGATTTAGGGAAAGTCATAGATCCTATATCTTTCCTTGATGTCATTAATTGTGACTAATCGACTCATTGGAAAGAAGCCATGAATGAAGAACTTCTTTCCATGGAGAAGAACAATGTTTGGGAACTTGCTGAATTACCAAAGGATCAAAAGCCCTTTGAAAGCAAGTGGGTCTTTAAGACTAAATTAGATCCAAAGGGAAACATTGAAAGATAGAAGGCAAGATTGGTTGCTAAGGGATACACTCAAAGGCAAGGTGTAGATTATCAAGAGACATTTTCACCCGTCTCTCGAAAGGACTCCCTAAGGGTCGTTATGGCTTTAGTAGCTCATTTTGATCTTGAGCTACATAAAATGGACGTCAAAATAGCCTTCTTAAATGGAGATTTACACAAAGATGTTTATATGATACAACCAGAAGGTTATGTTTCTAAGGGTCAAGAACATCTAGTGTGTAAACTCAAGAAGTCTATTTATGGGCTTAAGCAAACATCTCGACAATGGTACCTTAAATTTGATGAAGTCATGAAATCAAATGGCTTCATTAAAAACAAAGTAGATCAATGCACTTACCTCAAAATGAGAGGGAGCAAATTCATCATACTTGCGTTATATGTTGATGACATCTTATTAACAAGTAGTGATTTGGATTTATTGCATGAAACAAAACGCTTATTATTTGGCCATTTTGCATGAAAGATCTAGGTGAAGCTTCTTATGTTATAGGCATTGAAATTCACCGAGTCAGAGTCAAAGGGACGTTAGGCTTGCTACAGAAGGCATACATTGAGCGCATTTTAAAACGATTCAACATGCAACAATGCACTCTATCAGTTGCTCCAGTAGTTAAGGGAGACGTTTTTGGGTCATTCCAATGCCCAAAAACCGAGGTTGAGAAAGAGCAAGAAACTCATTCCTTATGCTTCCGTAATTGGAAGCCTGATGTATGCACAAGTTTGTACTCGTCCAGATATCGCATATAGGAAAGTCGCTAAGAAAGTTTTGCGGTATCTTCAAGGGACTAAGGAGTACAAATTGACTTATCAGAGGTCTAATAATTTAGAAGTGGTTGGATATTCCGATTCCGATTTTGCTATGTGCAAAGACGATAGGAAGTCTACTTCGGGATACATTTTCTTGCTGTCAGGTAGGCCAATATCTTGGAAAAGCCACAAGCAAAGACTTACAACTACTTCAATAATGATGGCCGAATATGTTGCGGTGTACAATGCAACATGTCATGGGATGTTGTTAAGAAATCTTATCAAAGGATTCAAAGTAGTGAATTCCGTCTCAAGACCACTAAGGATTTATTGTGACAATTCCGCGACCGTGAACTTCTCAAACAATAACAGTTCGAGTGGAGCGAGATTGTTCCTCGATACAAAATATTTGTTCGTTCGAGAAAGAGTGGAGGAAAATGAAATTTGTATCGTACACATCAGCACAAATGACATGCTAGCAGATCCTCTCACCAAAGGACTTCCACCCAGTATTTTTCAAAGACATGTCACTTATATGGGCTTGATCAAAGATCCCGATTAGGAGTTAATAGCATAGTGTCTGATAAGTTATATCTTATTTAATATTTTCAAGTATTTGATTTAGAATTCCTCCTTAAGTATGTTTTGTCTGTTCTTCATTGTGCACACAAAGTTATTTAATAGACAAACATAATACCCTAAGTTTAATGTCATTTGACTTATATTAATCCTTATACTCTTTAATAAGAAGTGTCAAAGTATGATTAATGGGGGTCTCGGGTTATATTGACCCGTTAGACTGTATTTGTTTGCTTTGATATTATTATGGAGTAAGATGAAATTTTCTTGGCCAAAACTTACTTTAACTTATGTATAAATGATCTCAAGGTCAAGTGGAAGAATGTTGGAAAATATTCCATTTAAGTGCCCTTGGACCATTTATAAAATTTAATATATATTGGGGACATTTATGTCATACAATTAAATTTGCCATATGACAGATTTGGTCCCTGTATTTATGTATAGTTAACATATGATGGGTATGTTTTAACATTAAATAATACATAAGGGACCAAAGGGGTTTCTCTTTGATACAAGTATAAGGCTTCTATTCTCACGACTAATACGACCGGGCACGTTTCTTCCCAAAAGGTCTCAAGAACACCTGTATTAGGAGACCCAAGGAAGATCGTTTAATCCATCGAAATCCGCTTGTATCCTTAGAGAATCCAAAGACATCATGGCTTCATCATCTTCACCATCAACGTTTGGTTTCTCCTCAACCGGTTAGTGTTCTTATTTTTGATTCTATTAATTTTATCATGTTTAGTGATATTACTCCTATTTGGGATTGAATTTCTCAACAGAAAATAATGATACTTTTAAGAAAATGTACCAAGTTTTAGTCATACCTGAAGAATTTAATTTTCTTAAAAACAATTCTAATGTGAACATCATCATATTAAAACACTAGTCTTGCCGTAACTCTGACTTAGGATATAATCGGTCAGAAGATGTGTGAGACTATGATCCATAATACGTGTAAAATGCCCATCAAATAAGTAATTAAGATAAGAAAAGGGACATCGACTTTTGTTAGTATCTAGGGTTTGAGAGTTTTATTTTACAGTTTTTATAATTAATCTATTAGTATAGATAGGCATGACTGACAGGAATGCTTCTTTGTCTAGATATTGTCTGGCTTTATTAACATCGTATTTCTTAGGCTGGTTTTATTTTTGCCACTCTAAAGGACCTCAAGACGACGCTTAAAGCTTTTCTGCTGTTGTTTGGTTTCTCTTTACCACATCAACTTATCGACATTAACGCTACTTTCCTCTCCTCGGAACTCCAACTTGCAACAACAATGAGAATATCCTACGTACCCTATATTATATGTTTTGGACATTTAAGTTTTTGGTAAGCATATTTTTCGGCTTATCACACTTATCAATCAACTTTTTTTATCAAATATGTAATTTTTGATTTCACGCGCTGAATTGTTTAATAATAAGAAAAAGTAAGGTTTAAGTTACTTTTCTGGTTGTATTGGATGAAGTTACTGTAGATGATCATTTTAGCTATTTTTAATAATTTTTTTAATTTTTTTATTGAAAATATATTATATATATAATTTTTTCAAAAATCAGCAGAATCTGTCAATACAGTCAGAAATTCATAAATATTAGCAGAAAAAGTCGATTCAGACGATTTCAGTATTACCAAACGGGCTCTAAAAAGTGGAGTAAATTGGTCTTTTAAGCAAGTCCGATAACCCCAACCACCAAGGCCGTCACAAAATTTAAGAGGTGATATAATTAGAATTTTTATGGTAAAAATAATGCACAATTTGGATTTGAATATATAATTTTTGGTTTCTTTTACATATTATATATTGTTTACTTTTTCAAAAAGAAGTTTTAATCAAATACAATAGAAGAGTTTTTATATAATATATGGACTACATTTTCAAAATTTTAAACCCTCTAAATCAGGTAGTTCAATGCTATAACATTTTTGTTGCACGCCCTAATATATGACCTCACCAAGAACGTATACATAATACATATCATATTGGTGATCGAGAAAGTTGACAAACAATGAGACTTCTAGAAGTCTATTTCTGATTTTTATATATCGGGGGAATAATATATTTTAATTTATATTTAAGGATCATAAATTTCAATTGACTGAAACGAGTATAATTGTTATTTTCCAAATGCCTTTGTTTTAAATTAGTTCTTATATTCGGATTTGAAGGATAAGACTGCCTATAACTTTTAAATGTTAAAATAATGACTATTATATGACTAAGTAAACAGTGGAGGACGCATGATGTAATATTAGGGTGGGTTAGTACAAAAAGTATTTTTGAATTTTTTTTACCCTCGAAGTATAATGTAGACAAAATTGAAAATTGGGATTCATCGGGATCTAGGTTACCCCAACTACGCCCCTTGTAAGTAATTAAAGTTAGTGCATGAAATATGACTTCTTACATTTTTGTAAGCTTAAGGATCATCAATATGTTCAATTTTAGAAAACCTTCTATTGAGATATTTGATATTTTAATATTCTTATTATATTCTTATTATATATTATCACACATGTAATAAGTTGGCTTGTACTGCATGCCTACTTGCATGACCAGACAATGTAGAGTACTTAAAATTAGTAATTAATTGTTATACAAATTTAAAACAACACTTGAATAAATTAAAGCACACATGCATTTACAAACATCAATACGAAAAAATGGTCTAAAAATTAGAAATAGACAATTCATAAAATAGGAGTAAAACATTGTCAATTTTCTCAAATAGGGGCTACTATTGTTTTCTTATCAAATTAAAATAGGACTCGTATATACCGAAGTTAGGGAAGTTTTTCTTCTCTTTTTTAGAAAGACTAAATAAGTTTTCTTCTCTTTTTTAGCAAGACTAAATTTGTGTTTACACCTATTCAGGGAATAAAAAACCTGATACTCCTATTTTGAAATTTTAAAAAGGTTTTACTCTTATTTAGAGCAATTTCTATATATTAAATCATTTATTCATAGTATTAAATTGGGATAATTTTTTAATCATATATGAGGTAATTTCCTATTCATCAATAAGTCACTTTGTAAATAAAATTATTCTTTAAGAAAGATTCAAATGTTGATGTCAATAACAACTCAAAAAAGAAGCCTTTAACTCTAAATGAAAGTTAAATATTGATTAAATTATTGAGAGGGATCTATCAAGAAATTGTAAATAACCTTTCACGTATAAATTCACACAAATGACACATGCATGTTTTGTGAATTGTTGCACGGATGGATATACTACTATACCTAATCCTAATTTAAAACTGTGTTTATATTTCTCTTATTTTCAATAATTTCTAAACTAAAACATACTCCATAGTACATTGGTCTCAATGATAGTGTGAATGAGACATGTATTTTCATACTCAGTATTTTGGAGTGGAGAACATTATTATCCATAATAAAAAATGTTTTTTGGCCGGGTCCATGACCGACCAATGGAGGGTTGAATTTCGTGAAAAGTCTAATAATTTTACATGCATGTGTTTGTCAAAAGAATGAAATGATTATGGTTCTTCAAAAGCAGTCCATGAAAAAACCAAAAATTATACCCCATCATCATTCAAATCAATTAATTAAATAAATAAACAAATTAAATTCAAGAAAGTAAGGCGGCCTACAATACCTTTGTTGTGTTGGGAAGAAGACTTCGCAGCTTAGCAAGATGATTATTGATCCTCTCCCTTCTCCTCCTCTCGGCTTCACTGTGGCTCTTCGAAGCCGCCAAAGCCTTTGCGTCCATAATCTCTTGAGCCGTCATCTTCTGCAGCTCGGCTTGGAGCCCAAACGGCGCCCCCAAACCAGGTTGGACCGGGTGACCCAGCGAGTCAGAAATGACCCCCCGGAAATGGTCCGACGTCGGCCGTAGTCCGTCGTACCCCGCGAACGGAGACGACGAAGGCAGCCTTCTACTGTTGAATAGCCCGCCGTATGGGGAAGGCGGGGGCGGGAGGAGAAACTGCTCATGATCCCGGATGGGCTGGTTTGAGTGGAAGCTGATCGGGTTAAAGCTCTGAACCGGCCATGGAAGAACCGGAGTCATTTCCGGAAACAAAAAATCGGATCTTGTCGTACCTACCCCAGTCCCCATGTATGCATCTATGCTGCTTTGTGGCTGCATATCTCTTATATTTCCTCTATTTATCCTTAAAAAACGAAAAAAAAACCCTAGTTAAGGTACGTTATTATTTCATGAAAATAGAGAAAAATCCCCAAAAAATAACCATCTTTATCCTAAATGGAAAGTGGCAATCACTAATTATTTTTAGGAAAAAAGAATAATGTCTGATTTAACTAAAAAGAACCTCTCAAAAAACAAACTAAAAAGAATTGTCATGTACCACGTATAACATATTAACATACATTTTCTAGCAGTTAGCTAGTGTTTTTTAACTTTGATGAGAACAAATCAAGAAGATAATTTCAAGAAATTCCTGCAAATAGAAGTTAACTAAATAAAAATCAATTCTTTTTGCTTACAAAAGCTATATATAATAAGAAAAATGGATTCATTCGGTTCACTTGCTTTGGGGGAGAAAAGGGTTTGAAAAGGAACAAGAAAAGAAGAAGAAATGAAGAAAAATAACAGACCTTTGGTAGTTGCTTTTTCTTTGATTAACAATTCAAGAAAAAATGAAGTCTTCAGCCGTCTGAGAGCTTCCAGCTCCTTGTTTTTTATCTAAGCTAATATCTTGCTTCTGCAGCTAGCTGGGATTATATGATATGATGGTTTCTTGATAATTGTAATGTTTGTTTTTGGGTGGGAGATGATGAATGGAAACTAAAATTTGGATGGAGAAGGAATGGATGAATAATGAAATGACCTCTCCTTTGTGTGTATGAGATCAGATCAAGTTAGAAGACAAGTCTATGTTGGCCTAACTAGCTTTCTCTTGAACCCTTTGTGGTATAGTTTGTTGGTGTTTGGAAATGTTTCTAAGATGTTCCCTTTATGTTTTCTTTGTCTTATGGGCCCTTTTCCCACCTCCACTAATACCACTTATATTTATAGTGTGAGATGGTCACCTTTCCTTTCTCTTTACGGCACTCTTTTTCTCTGGAGTCTCCCCATCACTATCTCTCCATTCATCCTCCAAACAAAGTGTTAATTTGAAATCTTGTTATGATCTCACCTTTGATTAACATCATAATGTTGTGATTTCTTTTTTTAATCAATATTATGTAAATCAAGAATGACATTAGTCACATTACCATAAAGTAACATAATCCCTTCATTTTGTGGGTGCTATAGAATTTCCCGGATTACTTTTATGTGGTACTCATTACGTACATAAACAACAAATTAAATACGGAGTATAATAGAAAAGTGGAGAGAATTTCTACAACTTTTTAAAAAATAATAATATACGTAGTATGTAGTATAGTCCAACTTTTACAAAAAATTACCAGTACATTAATGTTCCAAGGTACAAGTCTATACTTTACTTGTTGCTTACATGATCTTTTGAATGTTCTTTTATAAAAAAATAAAATTACACCAACGTTTTTTTATTGCAATAAAACTTAATTGCTTGGGCCAGTCAATGTATGGCATATGAGAAATTTACCTAAATAGGACTAAAATTTATGAAAAAGACCATCGTAAGACTATCACTTTTTTGTTTAACAGTCTAGGACTAAAATATAGATGTAATATCAAAACAGCCCTGCAAAGCCACTCTTCTTCCATTCACGACTTGTGAAGGTTGCGTTGAAGGATGTCTTTGCATCGCCTCTGCAACTTCCCCATATAAGCTTCTTCTTCTTTTTCTTCTTCTTCGCCTTCTTCTTCTTCTTCTTTCAAGCTTCTATATTTTCTTTCTTCCACTTTTACTCTTTTCTTCTCTTTTGGATATTCATTTTTTATAAATTCCATCTAATTCACTTTAAATCGTTCATATTATTTTTCTCACCAATTTGACCTGAAATTGGCATAATTGCTATGTTATTGAACACTGATTTGGCAAAAATGTCACTGTCTTGACATTACATTTACCAGGATGACGGTTTTTATTTGACATTTCTAAAGAGTAAAAATGACACCAACTTGACATTCTCCACGTACGACTGCTGATGGAGTATATGGGTCCAGACCCCAGGACCCACATATTCAGAAGAATAAGAGGCACGACTGGCACCCAGTGGGACCTCCATCGGCCAGATGGCCCTCCATCGGCCAGAAAGACATCAACTCAGAATATGATCCAGAAGCCAAGAGAACCGGGTGTCCTTATCGGTCGGGGCTCCGTCGGCCATGTCTCCGTCGGCCACAGAGACCTCAAGTAGCTAGATTTCATACTTAGTCAGTTTTATACACTTTGTACTCGGCCCAGTAGAGGCCCCATTGTAAGTGGGCCTCCCAAGCCCAAGGCTTGGGAGCCCATCCCATATTTTCTCTATGAATACTCCCCTTGGGGGTAGTTGTAGGGGGTTCACAAATCATTTATTGCAAGCATTTACTGCACTTTTCTCTCTAGCTCTCACTTCTCTCTAGATAATTACTTTATCATTTGCTGCTTTCATTGAGAGCTAGAACAATCAAGTTAGCATCCTTCGTCGCTACCAAGCACAGCTAACTGATTACGGGAAGAACAAAGTCAAACCGCAACTTTGTCGGCAAGGCGATCCCTGAGACCCATGAGAACAAGGTGCACGAACAGGATGTTACGGCTGACTAGGTCGCAGAGGAGGAGATCTTCCAGGAGACCATCGACCCTGCAACTGACCTTCACAATTCGCTTAACGGCAATGCTCAAGATGCCCGCATCGGCCTTGAGAAAAACGCATAGAAAAGAAGGACCATGCATCGGGTCTACAGATCACTCCCACTGTTAACCCTTAGCTGCAGACCGCTCTATCGGCCATCATAGCCAGCTTGGCTCAGAACCCCACCGTCCTCAGCGCGCTGAGGCCGAGGACGGGGGAGAACACTATGCCACCTCCTCAACCTTAGCCGTTGGCCATCATGATAGGCAACGACGAAGGGGTGGTGCCGCAGGACACGTCAGCATCCCACTCCCACCCAGCTTCCCCTCTTCGAGCTGGATCGACCCCAGCGCGTGGAAAAGCCTCAACCTTTAATAGGCTAGGTGACACGCGTCGTCGTCCAGCTTCGGAGAGGATGGCGGGACAGATTGGTGAGCGTTGGCCTGGCTCACCAAGGGGAAGCTTGGGGTCCGTATCCTGGACAGCGGATCAGCCCCCCTTAGACAAAGGCAAAAGAAAGTTGCATGAGGATGACGCACGCCACCAAATCAACACAGCTCACGCGGCCCGCGTGCGAACCCAGCAAGGCGCCACTACGGCCTCCAAGGACCCCAGGGACGAAGTCATTGCCCAGCTGGAAATGAGGCATGCCCAGATGGAAGCCAAGCAGTCTGCAACCATCCCTGCGGCCAACACGACCACAGATCTCAGCTTCAATGCAATCCCACACAAGGTCAGCGCCCTTGAAAGGGAGTTGGCCGAGGGACGTGGTGACCCTATCATCCAGGTCAGGACCAGGACTCCCTTCACCACGAGGGTGCTCTCGGCCCCCATACCTGAGAAGTATAGGGGAAACGCCATCAAGCTCTATGACGGCCGCACCGATCCCCAGGAGCACTTCAGCCGCTATCAGAACAATATGTTAATGGTGAACGCGTCGGACGAGTACCTCTGCCGCTGGTTCCTTTCCACTCTCGAGGGGCCAACGTACGAATGATTCAATGCGCTCCCCGAGGGGAGCATAGATTCATGGCGGGATCTGGCCCAGCGCTTCCTCACCCATTTTGCCAGGAGGAAGCGTGCGAAGAAATACTTTACCCATCTCCTCTCTGTCAAGCAGCAACATGACGAATCACTCTGGTCTTTCATCGACCGGTAGACGAAGGAGACTGATGAGGTTGAAGGGGCCATTGAGCGCACCCTCCTTGTCCTTTATCAGGGTGCCCTCCGCAGCACCCTCTACGCGAGGAGCCTCATCACTGACCCGCCGAGGTCATACACAAAGGCGCTCCAGCAAGGGAACTTATACGCTGACGCCGACGAGCTTCACAACCACAAGAAGGATGGAGGGCACCCCTCCAAGAAGACAAACTCTGCGCAGGCTCCAGGCGCACCCTCATCCGGTCAGGGAGGACAGAACCGCCAAAGGTCTAGCGGACAGAACAAGAAAGATCGCCCATGGCGGCCGGGGATGGAAAGGCCAAGGACCCCTCTCACACACTCGGTCAGCTCCATCCCCGATTACGCCGAGGAACATGATCTCATTGAACGAGATCCTCGACCGGTGAAGGAAATCTACGCCGTCCATCAGGGCGGCACCTACTGCCGCTTCCACAAGAACACCTCCCACAACACCGACGATTGGGTCACGCTGAAAAGAGCCATCGAACGCCAGATTCGACAGGGGGAACTCTCCCAATTTGTTAAAGGTGGCCCATGCAAGAATACATGTGTAAACACCGGTAAAAATGGGGGGGAACCCTCTACGAAGAAGCGCGAGATCGGCAGACTCAGTGATGACAACGAAGACTTTGAGGAACCCCCTCCAAAGAAGAACCACATCCACTTCATCGTGGGGGGCAACACTGGGGGGGGGACTCCGCCACCCAGAGAAAGAAATGGGCCCAATCCCTTTACATTGGGGAGGTGTCCCACGTTCCCCCCAGCCGAAGAAGTAGCGGACAGAGGCGATCACCTTCACCGACAAGGATCTGCCTCTAGGCACCGTGTCACGTAGGGACGCCCTCGTCATCTGATGTGAGATAGGCAATTCTATCATCCACCGCACTTACATCGATACGGGAAGCTCCGTCAACGTCATGTACCTTGACACATTCAAACAACTGAAGTTGGACAAGGAACTGCTTAAGCCGATCCGGACACCATTGTTCAGCTTTACCGGGAACTCTATCGACACCGAGGGCACGATAGTCCTTCCCGTGGAAGTCAGCGACGGATCCCATCAAACCAAGATTGGCATGGAGTTCATGGTGGTCAACCTCGAGTGCGCCCACAACCTGATCTGGGGGTGACCAGCATTAGAGGACCTGGAGACCATCATCTCGATGAAACACTTATGTTTGAAGTTCCCCACTAACGACGGCATCGGCTACGCCCGGGGGAACCAGAGGATAGCAAAGGCATGCTACCTCAAGCTGACAAAGCCGGCCGCAGGCGCCGAGCAAAGAATAGACACCATCACCACAACCGTTGCCAAGGACGAAGAGAGGCCACATGCTGAGCCAATCGAGGTGGTCAATGAGGTCCCCTTAGATACCTCTCGGTCAGAATGAGTCCTGAAAATTGGGAAGCAACTCCCACAGGACCAACGCGACGACATCCTCCTAGTCCTACGGTCATATGCAATCATCTTTGCGTGGGGGCCGGACGACATGCCAAGCATCAACCGGAAGGTGATCACTCACCGGCTGTCAGTCGATCCAGCCTCCACGCCGCTCAAACAGAAGTGACGCTACCTATCGTCCGAAAGACGGGACTTTGTCAAGGGGGAAGTCATCATGCTCCTCTCCATCGGCCACATCAAAGAGGTGAAATACCCGACTTGGCTAGCCAACGTCGTTCTCGCCCAAAAGCCGCCAACATTCAGAATGTGCGTTGACTACACTGATCTGAACAAGGCGTGCCCGATGGACCCGTTCCCTCTCCCCAACATTGATCAGTTGGTGGACGAGACGACGGGTTGCGAGTTGATGTCGTTCCTTGATGCCTTTTGGGGGTACCACCAGATCTTCATGCATGAAGATGACGCCGAGAAAACAGCTTTCATGACCCCGGATGGAATTTGTTGCTACCTCATCATGGTCTTCGGGCTCAAAAATTCAGGTGCCACATACACCAGGATGGTAGCCAAAGTTTTCATAGCAGACCTTGGCCGGACGATGGAGGCATACGTCAACGACATGATCATCAAAAGCAACCAATCTATCACCCATGCCGATGACCTCTGGGAAATTTTTGAGATCATGAACAA